CAGCCTCCGGTGCCTGCAAAAGCTGAAATACAATGTCAGCAGCATGCATCCGGTCACCCACCCCTTGGTTGGTTTTGGGGGTGGGATGGTCTACCCAACCAGAAGGATTGACTCACCCATCCGGCTGGGATAGAAGGGCCAAGGACGACATATTGTCGTCAGATTCTTGGTCGTTGAGGAGTTGACCGCCTACAACATTATCCTTGGCCGGCCGACCCTCAACGTAGCCAAGGCAGTAATCATCCCATCTCTCATGCTCATCAAGTATGAGAAGGATGACGGCACTGTGGGTTCCCTGAATGGAGATCAGAAGACGGCCCGAGAGTGTTATCTCTCAACCGTCCGAGATACCGTGGCCCTAGGCGGTCAGGAACCCATAGACCTTGACAATGTCAAGGATGCCGATCCAGTTCCTGCCCCACCAGCAGCCGGAAAGAAAAGAAATGCTCCTATGCTGGTGGAGGTGAAGAAAGAGAAAAATAGCAATCACTGACCGGTGAACGGTCAGATGAGCTTCGTCCCCAACCGGCTGGTGAAAGCTTTGATCTTGTTCTAGATGAAAGCCGTCCGGAACGTACTATAAAGGTTGGGACGGTTGCTTTCTGCTGAAAGAATTCAAAGACATTTTTGCCTTTGAAGTGGAAGAGATGCCAGGCATCAGCCCGAATCTTGCTGTCCACAAGCTCGCCGTGGATCCTAAAAAGAAGCTCATCCGGCAAAAGAAAAGAAACCACGGCGAGGAAAGAAGTCAGGCGGCAACTGCCGAAGTCAAAAAGCTGCTAGACGCCAGGTTCATTCGGCCTTGTAATTTCCCCGACTGGGTGGCCAATGTGGTCCTTGTTAAGAAACCGAATGGGACCTGGCGTATGTGTGTTGATTACACAGATCTCAACAAGGCGTGTCCAAAGGGCAGTTACCCGCTTCCAAAGATCGACAGTCTGGTCGACTCTACAGCCGGTCACGCCTTGATGAGCTTTATGGATGCCTACTCCGGCTTCCATCAGATATCCCTGTGGAAGAAAGATCAAGAGAAGACGGCCTTCGTCACCGATCAGGGGATATTCTGTTATACTGTGATGCCGTTTGGCTTGAAAAATGCGCCTGCCACTTTCCAACGGATGATTAATACGTTCTTCATTAATCAGATTGGGAGGAATGTGGAGGCGTACTTTGATGATATGATAGTCAAATCCAAGATACAGGCGGATCACCTTGCTGATCTCCGAGAAACCTTCACCACACTCAGGCGGCATAAGGTTATGTTAAATACTAAGAAATGCGTCTTTGGTGTTGAGTCTGGGAAGTTTCTCGGATTCCTGATTGATCAAAGGGGGATAGAGGCTAACCCTGAAAAGATACAGGCGGTGATTGACATGAAGTCACCCCGTTCGGTCAAGGAAGTTCAGAGACTCACCGGTTGTCTGGCCGCCCTGGGGAGGTTCCTCAGCCGGTCAGGCGACAAATGCCTCTACTTCTTCCAAGCAATCAGGAAGAAGACCAGATTTGAATGGGGGGATGATGTTGAGGCGGCATTACAGAGGTTGAAAGAGCATTTACATTCTCTGCCTAGGTTGGTCAGTCCTTTGCCTAGGGAGACGTTGTACATGTATTTAGCCGTCTGAGACCATGCCCTCAGTGTCGTTCTCCTTGCTGAGCGAGACAACGTGCAGCTCCCGGTTTACTTCATTAGCCATGTTCTTAAAAATGCTGAACTCCGGTACCCCATGGTTGAAAATTTTGGCCTTGCTTTGTATATGGCATTCAAAAAATTGAAGCCTTACTTTTTGGCACATCCGGTGGTGATCTACACGGATCAGCCACTCAAGCGGCCAATGTCTACCTTGGACTCATCCGGGAGAATGTTGAAATGGGCTATTGAAATGCAGAGCCTTGAAATCACTTACGAACCAAGAAAGGCAGTAAAAGGTCAGGCGTTTGCCGACTTCATTGTTGAAATGACTCGTCCGGTGGCTCCGGATAACCTTGACCAGGTTTGGAAAGTGTACACGGGAGATCTACAAAGAACGGCTGTGGTGCAGGCGTAATTTATGAGTCTCCTGAAGGAGGCAGATTTGAATATGCACTACGCTTCAAGTTTCAGGCCTCTAAAAATGAGGCGGAATATGAAGCCTTGCAAGCCGGCATACACATGTGTAAGGCGGCGGGGGCCATGAAAATTGACGCCTACTCTGATTCTCAATTGGTTGTTAGCCAGTACGAGGGAAGTTATGAGGCTACCCATCCGGCTATGATTAAATATCTTCAGGAAGTCAAAGAAGAGACCAAGGAACTTGAGGAATTCCGGCTGAATCAGGTACCTAGGTCGGAAAACAACCAGGCGGATGCATTGTCAAAGTTGGCATCTTCCGCCTGCCATGATACGCCTCGGTCAGTCTTCTGGGAAGTTCTTGAAAAGAGAAGCATCTATGAGGACCCCGTTGGAATTCTGGACCGAAGCTCTACCTGGATGGATGGCATCCGGGCCTATCTCTCAGACGGCACACTTCCTGATTCGCCACAGGAAGCAGCCGTCCTGAAAAAGCGAGCTGCAAGATTCGAGTTGAAAAATGGAGAACTCTTCAAGGCGGGGTTTCTGAAGCCTTTGTTGAAGTGTGTCACCCCAGAAAAGGGGAAAGAAGTTCTCGAAGACTTGCACTCGGGATTCTGCGCCTCTCACATAGGCAGCAGGTCCCTAGCCGTCAGAGCCAGACGACATTACTTTTGGCCCACTCTTGAGGCAGACGCCAAGGAGTTGGTGAAGAAAGGTGACAAGTGCCAAAAATTTGGCAAACTCATTCACCGTCCGGCTATTGATCTGACGACCATCCACAGCCTAATCCCGTTTGCAAAATGGGGCATGGACATTCTAGGTCCTTACACGCCTGCTCCAGGCGGAAAGCGCTTTATCTTGGTAGCTGTGGATTACTTCACCAAGTGGGTGGAGGCTGAGGCGGTTAAAAACATCAAGACCTCAGACGTAATTTCCTTCGTTTGGAAGAACATTATCACCCGGTATGGGGTACCTATGTCTATGGTATTTGCTAATGGTCCTCAGTTTGAGACGCCTCAGCTAAAAACTTGGTTGGGAGATCAGGCGATCTCAAGTTATTTTGCATCTGTTGGCCGACCCCAAGCAAACGGCCAAGTTGAAGCCTTCAACAAACTCATCTCAGACGGAATTAAGAAGAAAATAGAAAGAGCTGGTGGCTTGTGGGCAGAAGAGTTGATCCATGTCCTATGGGCCATCCGGACAACGGAAAAAGGGGCAACCGGTGAAACCCCATTTCTCATGGTTTACGGTGCTGAAGCCGTCTTGCCCATCGAACGTTACGAGCCGACTCTTAGAGTCATGCTGTATGATGAAGAGGCAAACTGGGAAGCAATGCGCCTGGCATTGGATTCACTCCCAGAACGCAGGGGCAATGCCGCCTTGCGTCATGAGATTTACCGTCTGAGAATGACGAGAGCCTACAACAAAAAAGTACACAAGCGTCCTTTGAAAGTTGACGACTTGGTGTTACGAAAAATGGAGGAAACCGGTAGGGCCAATGAGCTGGGACAGCTAACCCCAAATTGGGAAGGCCCCTACCGGATCTATGAGGAAGTAAGGGACGACACCTACCGCCTGGAAACTCCAGAAGGCAAGCGCCTGCCTAGAACTTGGAATGTAGACAATCTAAAAAAGTACTACTTCTGAGAATGTAACTTTTTGTAAACAGTGAGTCAATTAATGAAGATTCAGTCTTTGTTTGCAAAATTGAGTTATCGTTTGATTATCCATCCGGGTAATATCCAGGCGGATTCCCCATCTACCTAACTAAGTTCGATACTTAGTGAAGGTTACATTTGTTTATCCGCCTGGGTAATGCTCGGATCCCTTGTTTATTTAAGTTTGATACTTTGTTTATTCAACTGCTTGACTATCCGCTTGGGTAATACTCAGACGGATTCTCCATTTATCTAACTAAGTTTGATACTTAGTATGATCAAATATTTGCATGTCCGTCTGGGTAATACCCAGACAGACTCGTTTGCTTAAAAAACAAAGTTCGATACTTAGTGTAAATTCAATACTGAAACTAAGCACAAAAACGTTTAGTGGCTACGCAACTGGTCTCAAACAAGACCAGAGGCTAAAATGGCTGGATGATTGCTCATTTTATAAAATCGACTGTCCCAACATGGACAAAGGCGTTCGGCGACACCCCTCTGGGTGCAATCGTCGCAGAGAACAAACTATTTGTCGGTTCTACGTATCCATGTAGACGACAAAGATTGAACGACCAAATTGGTCAACTCATAGCCGTCTGACCAAAATAACCTATGAATAACGAATAAGTTCCCAGATACCGGATGCCCATAGGCATCAGTCGGTCGCCGGCTGAAGTTCTCACATGTTATTTATTCCAAAAATTGCACCTCACCCCAATTGGGGCAAAAGAGTTCAATGGCTATGAAATCTCTACCAAGACGAACATACGCCGTCTGTGTAGTGACCGAAAATGCTTGTTGGTGTACGGCTGTGCACTTGGTTTGGGGCAATCACTACTATGATTGATTGACTTACAAACATATCATGCTCTTTGCAGCATCAGACGTTTTCAAGCCAATCAACCAACTCCACTTGAAACCAATCACACAGCTGTCCAGGGGCAAGGACAGCCAGGCTATTGACTAGTTAGGAAAGAAATCGCCGCATGCTTTTGATAAGTTAGGCAAAAAAAATGAAAAATTAAAATTTGCACAAAATAAAAATTCAAAATGATCAAAACCGACTCAGTCGGTGCATTTCATAAAAGTCCATCCAACCAAATGGTTGTAATGGATCAAATGTTAACTGGACCCCGTCCGGGACAAAGAAATTGTTAATTAACCCGGCTCCACAGCCGGTAAATACACAGATACTCGGCACGTAGGCCGGAAAAAGCAAGTTTTGGCATACAACCGCTGAATAAAAAGAAAATTAAAAAAGCAAAGATTGGCATACTGCTGCTGAGGAGTCACTTCTGGCCTGCAGACGGAGCCTCCTGGTCCTCCCCCTCCTCTTCACCATCTGAGGGTATCTCTTGTGCTTCACCAGGACCAGGAAGATCAGGCGCGGACGTTTCATTGTTGGAGCTGACCCAGGCTTCGAAAGAGGCAGGCTCTGACTCGCCTTCTTCTCTCAAGTACACCACGTACTCGGCATAGCTGTGCGCCAGTGCCCAGATGCTATAATCAGCGTCTGGGTACAAGACGGCCCACACAATCTTCATACAGGCGTTGTTGTCAGCATCACTCTCAGCAACAAGGCGGTTTTGTTCCGCCTCCAGGGTTGCTGCAAAGTTTTTCTGAGCTTGAGCAGCATCCTTCTCCAACCTCTCAACCTTGGTCTTCAGTTTGCCAAGGTCCGCCTGGGCCTTCTTGAGTGCCTCATCAGCCTTTTTGGCGCTCTCGTCCGCCTTCTTCTGGGCCTCCTCCGCCCCCTTCTTGGCCGCTCAGCATCCGTAGTACGCTGGTCGACCGCCTTTAGATCTAGCTCCAGCTGCTGGATTTTAGACGCCTGTGTCATAATTATTGCTTTAGTTTCAAGTTCATTTACGATAGTCGAGTGTAAAGCAATATTATCAGCGTCTATGGCGGACTTCTTGGCCCTTTTTACCTCTTCCCGTTTACGGGAATAAGGACGCTTGAGCCCGTCCACCCGCAGCATGGCCTGCAAAAAGTCAGGCGGCATAAGTATGGCAGGCGGGATTAGACACTTGGAAAAAATAAAATTAAATTGACAAGTTTCTTACCTCAGCCAGAAGGGATAGAATGCGTTCAAGATTGAACGTCTCTATCCCAGGGATATTGTCCTTATCCCTTTTCCGGACGGCTTCCAATATGGCCTTGGCGTGCTTCTGGACGTCTGGCCAGCGGGGAGATTGATCTGCACCACAATCAATACGTGATGAGTGCGAAACTAAGGCAGCACCTATCTGTTGCCGACCGTCTGAGGATGACGTCTGTTGGGAGTGGGATTTCACCCGTAAAGGCCACCCCAGCTCAAGAGGGGATTTAAAAGGGTTCTTACCTTCAGAGCCAGCCAAGCGGGAACCGCTTGCAGGCGTGGTGAACCCCGCAGCTGCTGATAAGGGGTTGACAAGATCAAGGCACACGCTGCCGCCTACCTTCTTGAGTCGCCCCGATATCCGCATCGTCTTAGGCCCGGCTGAGGCACCAGGAGTTGATGCAGAGGTGGATTTTTTGATTTTGTTGAGAACGGCAGGGTTCTCCTCCCTAGCCCGTTTGAGTTGCTTCTCAAACGACTTTCCAACCTCTCCTCCCTGAAAAAATAACCAAAGTTAAGGATAGCATCCGGGAAAATGATTTTAAAGGGTCAACTTATGAAAGGGTCAGGCGTTTGTTACCTTGGCCCTGAGCTCAGCCGCAACTTTCTCCGCAAGATCTTTGCGGATGGTTGCAGAAGACCGTTTAGGAGTTTTCTCTAACTGCAACATTTTTAGAGCTTCTTCTGCAAAAAGAAAGAAATTGGTCAACATCTTGAATCAATTTTGATAGAAAAATACTACAGACGATATAAACTCAGGCGCATACGTTTTGTAAACATGTGCCCTAGCCCACAGGCGGCTAGAAAACACTCATCCCTGAACCAGGCGCTCTTGGGGATCCAATTTTTGGGGACTTTTATTGTTTCCCCGGTTGACAGAGTTGCGTTTGTGAAGCCGAAAAAGTCTGCCTCAATTCTTTTGTCAAAATCTTCCTCTTGGATCTGGGGAAGAGCGCACTTCCTGCCCAACAAGTCGGGCTTCTTATTGTACAGACGAAATTCATTATTTTCCCGTCTGGTTGGGGCTGACATCAGGTAGAACCTGTGCTTCCAGCCATCGAACTTTGAGACCTTGTCCAAGGTCATCATATATTGCGGCTGCGTGGTTAGAGTGTACCACGCCCTCCAGCCGCCTGGGCTTCTGCTAAGATAGTACATGCTTGCAAAAGCCTCCCAGCTGGGGTTAAGCTCCTGGAACTCGCAAGCGGCAACATACCCCAGAATATTGGTCTAGGAGTTGGGGGTAAGTTGCCAGACCCCAAGGCCGTAGCCTCTAAAAATTGCCTTCACTGCCTGGTGAAGGGGGAGCGAAGGCCGGCTTTGAACACCGCCTCATAATAGCCAAAATAGTTGTTGGTGTTCTCTTGATCATCCCCCCACGCGATGGTGCCCAGCTCAGGCGGCACCCGGATCTTATACCCGTCTCCTAGCGGGTGAATTCTCTTAAAATGCTCTAAGTTCTCCCCCATCTGGATTCGGTCCTTGGAGGAGGCGTGGATGCTGAAGGGATCGTCCTTCTCACTCCACTTTTTCCTTTCTTCCTCCTCTCTACCCGGAAGAGGGGGCAAGTCATCGCTGCTCTCGGAGGTAGAGGCGGAGCTGTCACTCTCCGTCTCCCCCTCGCTTTGGTCCATGGGGGCAGAGGCGGCCTCGTCGCTGCCTTGGTCGCACTCTTCCAAAAAAGAGTCTGCAGAGGTTGAAGGGGCGCGTAGAGGGGATCTCTCCAGAGCCGTCTGGTTTCCCTGACCAGAAGTTTCTCCCTCAGGCGTTTGGCCGCCTGAGCCTTCGCTCTTGTAATTCGGGTCTGTGGGCGTCTGCATTGTCCGAGCCATGGTGTCCTGCACAGACACATAACTGGTCGGAATCCATGGCAAAGGGTGGTCCCAACACCCCGAGCCGACACTCCCAGTCCTAGACTCAGCCGACCTTGGTGACCGGCTGGACTCTAACCTAGGCTGTGCCGTGTGTGTTCGTGATGCATCCATTTATTGCAAGAAATATGTACAAGCGGTGAAAAAAGAAAAGAGCTGAGAGAGACAGAGACGGTACCTTTTTATTTGGTATCTGAACATAGACGGGACCGGCTGTATTGCTGAAGAACAAACTTTCTTGCTCGCGTCTGCCTCAAACAAGTGACTTCTGCTCTCTCAAAGTTTTTCTCTCTAGGAAATTTTTGTAAACGTACAAAATTATGAGGGTAAAACGGCTATATATAGAGGGTAAATTTGGGGGCATTTCTGTAATTTACCCGGAAGGTGAACGGTTACTCTGTAACGGTAAAATTACCGCCAGCCGGAGCGTGACATGTGTCACAGATGCCACGTGGCGTGCCACGTCACATCTGTGAGGGGCAAATGTTTAGGGTAATTTTACCCTGCCACGTGGCCCAATCAGAAGGTGACACGTGTCAGCCCCAGATTGGTCTAAAATGGACCAATCCCTGCTCGACACGTGTCATTCCCTAAATCAAGGGAAAAGGCGGCCTTCAGGCCCAAATCCCGAGAATGCCGCCAAACGGCGCAACCCACCAATGATTAGGGTTCAGTAACCTAATCAGGGGCACAATTCCCAAAGACCCTATAAATAGGGAGATGTCCCTCATTTTGTGGGCACGTTTTTGATCATTTATTGCACACTTATTCTTTGATAGAGACATCCTGAGCTTGGAATTTGAGCAGATCCCTACCTAAATTTCCGCACCTTTTTTCTCCCTTCAAGTTTCTAACTTGTGCGTCGGAGGCGGAGCACCACCCAACTGGTGTCTCCGTTTTTTTTGCAGGTACAGCTCACCCCGGATCAGTCTTCGTGTTGTAACTATCCCGAGGGACAAAAACACCCAAAATAGGACGAGTTTCCAACTACCCGAAGATCCGGATACCCGAATTTTTGGGTACCCAAAAACCCAGGTACCCAGATTTGAACATCCCTAATGCCATGTGAGTTATGCCACATGGCATATTCTAATTGATTCATTTTATTGTTATTTTATTTATCAAAAAAATTATAATTAAAAAAAAAACTAAACCCCAGCCACTTTTCCCACCGCCTCTACGCCAGCCCTACCCCTTGCCCCAACCCCCACCAACGACCAACATCCTCTTCGGTGTCGGCTGCCCTTTTCCACACGACCCTATGCCATCGCCACCCTCTCCTTCCCAAAACCACCTTCCCTTCCCACCGGCGCCCAACCCCCATTCCTTGCGCGGGCGAAGCTAATTTTCCCATCCCCTTACCATTTCCATCCACTCCCCCCCTCTTAAACCACCGTCCTCGACATCCTAAAACCCCAAAATTGAAATCTCCAAAATCAAAACCCTAAATTTCGATTGTAAGGTTTTCAATTTTAGGGTTTAAGGGAGGTGGTTCAGGGGGTGGAGATGGGAGGGGCGGTTTGATGGGAATGATGTCCTTCGAATAAGTGTATTATTCCGATAGAGGACTCATAATTATTAGAAAACTAATTATTCAAGGAGGTTAAGTGATCGAAATGCCTAGTTGGAGGCCGCTTCCGATCAGTGATATTAATGTATAATATTACAGCTTAATCTTGACTGAACCATTCGAGTCACACCCAAGCAACTAACGATCCGATACGACGAATTAATCCGGAAGGAATTAATGGGTTGCTTGAGTATTATGAATATAGACGTCGAATATTGAGCTAGGAGCGTCGAGACCGAGTGTCGTAAGTCGAGTCGAATTAATAAATCGACGAGGAACGATATGACATATTAGGCTAACACGTACTACCGCAAGCAAGCCGCAAGCACCAAGCAGCTAGCTAGGGCTTGCGTACTTGCAAGGGCAGTTGCGGTCTACTAGCAAGCTAAAGCATGCTGGCCAGCCCGCATCAACAGCCAAGCAGCGCACAACAACCGCACGGGCTTGCGATGCGTGCTGGCAGGCAAAGCCAAGCAGCGCACTAGCAACACGCGTAGCTTGCGTATGGCTGCAAGGCCCAACCAAGTCAAGAAGGGCCTTGACCGATTTTTCCTTGGTGACCAAGGAGATTGACCAGTCATTCCCTCTTATGATTGGTGGGTTTGGTGGCTTGGGGAATAAGGAGGCTATGTTGTCCTCCTTGTGGTCCTCACCTAACCACTCCCATGTGTGTGCCAAGTGTTGTTTAATTATTTTCCTTGCAATTTAACTTAATTTAGGAGTTGGGATTATTCACTTGAGTTGGAAATCAAAAAGGCATCTCTACTCGAGAGAAAACCTTTAAGTTCATATAATACTCGAGTAGTAATTTGGTCCTACTCGGCTAAACTTAGTGTAAGAGACCGGTCGGGTCGAGTTGCGGTTGGATATCGTCAAAGGTCTCTGCGCTTGCAAGACTTGGCTTTGAAGTAAGAGCTTCGGGTGTGAGCGAAGCATGCGACAAGGGTAAGATCGTCTTTTCTCTTTTTCTTGTTATTTATGTCATTTATTTATATTAATTTTAAGCGGGTCTTGGGGTCGGGTTTTCTTCCACGGTGAGGTAGACTTACCAAAACCCAACACGGTTTGGGTTCGCGGGAGCGGGGAGGGATTATTGGATGCCAGCAGTGGGGAGTGGAGGGGGCTTCGAATTTAGGGAAATCAATATAGGGGTTTAAAGTGTCAAAACCCTAGATCTCGATTTTTGGGGATTTTAATTTAGGGTTCCGGCGTGGTGGTTGAAAGGGTGGAGCTCGGAGGGGATGAACTAATTTGGGTTCTCCGGCGTGGGGAGGGGGACTTTGGTCGTTGGCGGTAGGGAGGGGAGGGATTTTCGAGGGAGAAAGAGAGTTTGTGAATCGCGGGAAGGGTGGTTGGGTTGTGTCGTCGATGTGGGCTGGCTAGGCTGGGTCGCCGGTGCAGTTGTTCAGGGTTGGGTCGCGTCGCGGTTAAGACTAGCTGGAGGCGGGGATATGGTGGTGGCAGTGACAGACGGTGGTTGGGGGTGGCTCATTGTGGGTGGTTTTTTTATAAAGTTTTTTATTAAGTAATTAATTTACTAATTTAATAAGCTACCAATCATAAGCCATCACGTGGCATAATTAGCCTTAATGACTATCGGAGTGAACTGCCATTAGTCATTAATGACACTTGGTGAATTTTTTAAAAACTCGGTGGCATTTGGTGAATTTTTAAAAGTCCGATAACATTTAGTGAATTTTTAAAGTGCTCAGTGGCATTTGGTGAAATAGCCGTTATTTTTTTTAGGAAGTGAAAATACAATTTTATTTTTCCTTGAGGAAAACAAGTTTTATATACCAAGTACTCTGTTTCAAATGGGAGTATATTTTATTTACATTTTAGTTAAAACAAAAATAAAATAATAAAAAAAAAAGAAATCTCACATCTCGGGATAGTGGAACGTGTAACCCGTTAACAGGCTAAAGTTGTAATCACCCAATCAAAAATAATATCTAAATCATCTAACTAATGCAGATAGGGAAGTAGGGTCGAATCCACAGGGAATTTGGTCTTTCTATTCCTAATTAATTTAAGCAATCTAAATTATCAAGTAACAATTTAATAATATGGATATAAAACTAAACTACGGAGATTAAGAGTAAAGAGAAAACAATGAATAAAGGCCTAGGGCATAGGTTCACCAATAAATAACATTCCAGGGTAAAACATAATAATCAATGTTCAATGCATAAATTAATCAGACCATAAAGGACTTTCGCTACGTATTACAATCACATAATTAA